TCACCAATTTATTTTTATTAATCCCAACTTTCGATTATTCCGCAATAATCCCAACTTTAGGTGCGTTTTCATTTTTTGGTCCGGATTACCGGTTACTTGAAGAAAGGGTTAAAAAAAATTTAAAACCATTTATTTGACACGTGTTGCATGTTAATTGGTTTATCAAAATAAAAATAAATAAATTAAAATAAAATTAAAAAAAAAAGAAAAAAAACCCAAAGACCCATTTTCTCTCTCCTCCCCTTTGTTGTTCATCCATGGCTATTAGCTGCCATGCCATGGCAACCACCACCAATCAACCGCCGGCCCTCCCCACCACTAGAGGCGCCGCTCCGAGCCAAACCACCATCCCCCTTCACCGAAACTCCCACGCCACCAACCAAACCCCAAAAACCACCAGCCCCCTTCACCAAAACTCCCACGCCACCAACCAAACCCCAAAAACCCCCATCCCCAAAAATTGAAGAAGTTAATTAGCGAGAGTACGGGCATGTGATTAAGAAATAATTAAGAAGCTTCACCGAATCATGATTACCACCCATTGCACCACCACCACTACCCACTGCACCACCAACAACAACCGCAAGCAACATCCACAACCATCGAAACCACCATACAACCAGCGAACCAACCATTGAAACCCATCCCACCCACCCCGCAAAGCCACCACAAACCCACTCCACCAGTCGAAATCCCCTTCAATTCACCTCTCGTTACCCCCAATTTTGCATTAAATCTAAGTTTTCAAACTCAATCTCACAATCCCCTTTTCACTTTTCAAGGGGAAGTGGAAGGGTGGCCGGAAACGGAGGGGAAGGAGGGTTGCTGGAAATGGAGGGGATGGGGGGACTGTCGGAAATGGAGGGGATGGTGGCTGGGTGGCTGCCATTAATGGAGGTGGAGGGGCTGTTAAAGGGGAAGGGGGAAATAAAATAAAAAAATAAAATAAAAAAGAATTAATTTTCTGTTTTTTTTTTAAAAAATTTGGTTCAGTCCAAAAAAAAAAAAAAATGGACCACTCATATGACGACACGTGTCCAGCCACTTACAATAGAAGGTTGTTGACCGGTTTGGGTATGAAGAATGATAGGCCACCTTAAAGTTGGGATTATTGAGGAATAATCTAAAGTTGGGATTAATGAAACTAAATTGGTGAAAGTTGGATTAAAAAATGTTATTAATCCATGGATAAATCGCTCATTAGGAACAGTTACGAATTAACCCTTTTATTTTGAGAGAAAAAAAAAAAAAAAAATTAAACCTGACAAAATCACCTTTCTTCACCTTCATCGTCTCCAAAATCCATAAGCATTAAGCAGAGCCGTGATGAAGAAATTGCTGATGAGGTTTGTTTCAGAATGATCAGAATAAGCCATAACTACATCTAGTATAGCTTAATAAGTCATTAAGGTTGTTAGTTTTTCTTGTTAATTTTGTTATGTTATTGTTGCAAATTATTAACAACGTTTTGAGCTTTGATGAGTTCATATCTATAATTAGGAAGTGTAGGTTTTTCGGTTTAAATTTTAATTGATTTGTGCATTTTGGTTTATTTAGTATTTTACTCTTGTTTTAATTTTAGTTGATTCGATTGCATTTTGGTTATTGTTTTGATATACGTATTAGTCTAAATTCCCTTCATCAGCCTTGTTTGTTGCTAGAAAGATGCACCTTTTAGTATGATTCTATGTGGTTTGTTAATTATTGGTAATGCATTATCTTAATTATGGTTAGGAATCGATTCGGGTATTGATTGCAGCTCGATTTTGGTAAAGAAGTTGAATATCTTAACATGACTAATTGCAAAATGTAGTTATGGGAGCTTTAATTTGTTGGTAGTGTTAAATTGGTCTGTTGGTGTGAATTGTTTTTGAGTTTGATGCTCAGTTATTTATTTGATCAGAAGGTTTAACATTGTATGCTCTCATGATGGAGTCCCAAACTCAATTTTTAAATGGGAAAATCAATTGGCATTTCAAAGATAGTTATATAAGATGTACACCGCCTTTCTTCATGGATTCACATGACTCGTAGATACTTATTCTTAGATGCTCCTAATGGGTTTTAACATGAACTATTCATTTTACCTTAATAGATGTCATGCTGTGAATATGTGGTGACTTAATTTTATTAAATTTCATAATTTGCTTCTTGCGCCATATTTCGTATTGTAACTATTGTTTTATTTCATAAAACTTCTTATTATTCCCGTCCCAATCCTTCACGACTTTTCATCTTTCCTGTGTATTCCTATTGGGTGTTCATTCATCTTTGTGTGCAAAACTGCAGGTATGATTACTCTGGGTATGGCGTGTCTACTGGCGAGGTAGTCTATTATTCTCAGTCATAAATTTACACTTTTTCCAATATCTTAAAGCATTATAGACACATTGTAGACATTGCAGTAATGGTATAGAGCAATCACGTTCTTTTGATTTTCCAAAAGTGTACACCACCTCCAACATTAACTGATAGGTAAAAATTCCAGTGTAATACTTTGTAAAATTCAGGTAAAATCACAGGTCTTCAATAGAACCAAGTTAAAAAAAAATGGCCATCCAATTGACAAGCGTACCATGTTAAATCTGTGAATGATTTAGAAATCCTTTTAATAAGCACTTTGTTTCATTGTATTAGGTATTTAGGCGTCAATAGTTGATTTTCTATCTGATTATTCTGGGGATTATTAGTAACTTATGCCATGACTCGAACTGTTTTCTTGCTACCTAGCTTCTCAGTTCTCATCATGTAGATTGTAGTTTATACAAATTTGTAGATATTTTTAGTTACTGATTGATGGCCTACAAATTATCTGGATGGAGTCTATTTATTGTCCGAGTCTTCTAAGGTGGGTGCTAACCTTTTTTCTCATTCTTTATTCTTGATCCAGCCAAACAAGGCCAACACATATGCATATATAGAGGCTGTTCTTGTTCTGTTTCAATATATATAGGGTGGGTGAGCTCTTTCTGCATCCTGTTTCTTTCAATTATATATTTATATTTCCTCTTTTTCTTATTCACTGGTATGTGCATTCATTTGCATTCTTCTATGGTATTGGTCTGCTAGATGTTTTTCTTTTTATATGCATGCACGTATAAATGGATTCACTTGGCGTGATGTGCACAACCGAATGAATAGAAAACTTGAAGATGAAATTAGTCAAATTAGCTTGATGCCTTCACAAATCCCTTTCTTCGTTTTATTTTTTATGGCTTTTAGGTTGTGAATCATGTAAATTGGTCTTGTAATTACTGACTTCAAAAAATAAGTGTCATTAAAGGTGAGTGGGTGATTTGTCATAAAACTTGAGATATTATAAAAGATAATGAGGTTGGAGGATTGGGGAGGGACATAATAAGCGCTTTAAAAGTACCATTTTTAGAGTATACTTTTTTCAATTAGAAACTGAAAAAGAAGAATACGAGCCAGTTGTGTAGGTCATCCTATAAATTGCATGTGAAGCCGTGAAGGACGTGTAAGAGATGTATTTTGCACATTCTTCTTCCTATAATCATTGTCATGGCAGAAAACTGCTTTTCAATTCGATTTAGATGGTTTCTTAACACTAATTCCATGTTTAATTGTGCATATCATGGGCTCAAAACATTGATTTTGTAAAATTGCAAATTGTGGATTTTTTCATCAAACCAAAAAGAAAAATATGTACAAGTTTTTGTATTCTTCATTAACTTTGTCACTTGCTGGGAAAGGTCACTTTTTTGAGAGGATAATAATTAAGAAATCAGCCTAGGATAAGGAACCAAAATAATATCAAATGATAGTTTTTTTTATCTGTTTTTTTTTTTTCAGGCAAGGAAATAAGAAACATTAAGGAAACCTCCTCACGAGGGTAATCTCTATTGTATTTTTATAGAAATGCATGCACCAAAGAAGCTCCATGTTACTCTGAATCATTAGTCTAGGCTAGAAGGTGATAGAGACAAGGGCTGTTATTAGTCTACTAAGATACAGAAGCATGTGTTCCAATCATTTTGAGAAAGAATTTGTTGGAATATGTTCTTATTTAACAACTGCAATTCTGCACAGAGAAACCTGGTATCACAAAAAACAACAATGCTCATGTCATTGGTGACTGTATCAAGGAATTTAATCTAATCATAGATGCTAGTGTTTTAAATTAGCAACAGTGACATGTTTCACATCGTTTGCTGATTTTCTGTCTTGGGTGCAATTTCCAGTACTTAAAGGAATTAACAACTTCTCCAGCTCCAGCTAGCATCATGCTGCAATGCACTATTAGAAGCATTTCGCAAGTTTCCATAGAAACTTCTGTTCTTTTATTAAAATTTTACTTTTGCTGGCATGATTAATGGTAATGTTTTGAATGAATCACAACCCCAGAATTGTGCCATTGTAAACTTTCTCGGAGCATTTGGCATTATAATGTCCAAGTAGATGTTCTTGTCATCTTGTGGCTGTTAATTATATAACAAATCTGAAAAATCATGTGCAATATTTGTTTTTATCATAACAAGTCTAACAACAGAAGTTATGGTTTGAAGAAACAAAAATCTACTTGTATATTGATAGCCTATTAAATCTGAACAAATCATTCTTGTTCACTACTTTGGACAATGTTATCATTAAAAACAATATAAGAAAGATGTGAGATGTTATGCCATTTAGGGCCATCTTTGGCATATCTTTCAGTTAGCAGTGGGCAGTCAGCAACATTTAGATGCCAGAACTCAGTAAGAGACAGCATGACTTGTTTTGAAGGCAGAAATTTCAGATTCTTGCATTGGTAAAGCGACAACTCCTCAAGCGATGACAGATTGCCTATCCAGTCTGGAAGTTGTTCCAATATATCAAAATTCCATATAGAAATAACTTTAAGGTTGCTAAAGAGTTGGATTTGTCCAGGTACCGATTTTACATCCGGATAACCATCCAAAATTATTTGTCTAAGGCTGATTGATTGGCTGGTGAGGCAAGGGGCCATGTTTGCAAAGTAAGTTTTAACCTCTATTTCGTTTTTAAATCCACCAATACTCAACTCCATTAGAGATGTAAAATGTTGCAGTACTTGTAGTATGGAAGTTGTACTCTCCTGCTTCATTAACCCACAACTCTTCGAGACCAATCAACTTGCTTAAATCTGTTTGTGAACCTTCTATTGATGGACATTGCTTTATGTTCAGTTCCTTTAAAGATGCACATTCCTGCAAACTAGTTGAAATCCTTTTTAACCTGCTGCATCTGAATATACTCAGCTTACACAAAGATAATAGGTTCCGAAAAAGATCATCAGGAAGTGAAGCTAGGGCAGGACATTGTCTTATGTCCAAGGTCTTGAGAGATGCTGGCAGTCCATTGGGCAAAGACTCAAGTTCTTGACAGCCCCATACATTCAATTTCTGTAGGTTTGTAAAGCTTGATACCTCCTGAGGCAATCTCTTCATTTTTAGTATCTCGCAAACTTCTAATGATGTGAGACTGCTGCTATAACTGATGACACTGTCCAAGGATTGAGTACCAGGAAATTCTTGAATTCTTAATCGTTTCAGTGATTCAAATTTCAGGGCCGGTATTGTTTCCAGAAGAGGGCAGTTCATAACCTCTAAAATTTCCAGGCAAGGAAAGGTGATTGCCCCAAGTGTTGGCGATGGCTGCATCCATTCTGTCAGACTGTCAAAGTTCCAGATCTGAAGCTCTCGCAAAGCTGGAAATAGTTTTTCTATTTGCTTGTGAAGATCCTGATCACTAACATAGAAGTGATCGTCTATGCGTTCTACAGCTAATTTATCTAGGTATAGATACTTAAGAAATGGCAACTGACCGAGTGTGGGAAGAAATCGACATCTTCTGCAATCCACGAGTTTTATTTCTTTGAGATTGCTAAGAGGTAGTATCTTACTTCTTGGTGCCCCGGATTTAACAGCCATCCTCATCATCCATGATGGAAACTTTTCGGCATTGAAGCCAACTATAGCCAGTGCTATTATACCAAGGTGAGGTTCAAGGCCAGTCAGAACTTCCTCATCAGTATCAGTGTTGCTGTCTACTCTATTACCAGACCAAACTAGGTGCAATCGCAAAAGCTTGACCTTTTTTCTGAGCTCAACTTTCCTTGCTTCAGCTTCACTCTTCACATGTTCAAGACCTGAGATAGAGAGCCCGTCTCTAGCTTCATGTAAAGAGCCTAATTCATCAATGTTCCATCCTTCTCCATCACGCAATGCAAGATCAGGTAAGGTCTGCAGGCATGTTAATTGTCGTAATCCTTCAGATGCAAACACGCTATGATCTGTTGTCATAATGTGTCTTAAGTTTACCAACTTATGCAATTCATTTGGTAGCTCTGTCAGTTCTTTGCAGCCTGTAAGTTTCAGAGTTTGTAATTGGTAGAGCTTAGTGATAGACTCTGGTAACTTTTTGAACGGATTGTTTGATAAGTCTAGATACTTGAGAAGTTTTAACTTCCCAATGGAAGCCGGCACAATTCGAAGGTCAATCCCGTCAGTTATAAGAGTTCTCAGGTATCTTACTGTAAACAAATTCCCTGGAAAACCAGCCCAAAGATTAATTGTTCGTAGTCTCTTTGTAGAAATTTCTGCAGGAATGATTTCTTGAAATGCTTGCAGAATACTAAAACTTGCCTACTAAATGTCTACACTCAATGTCACTATTTGGTTTTGCTTCTTTACTCCATACCAACAAGTCCTTACGCAATACATACACTGCTAGATCATGCACCAAATCATGCATCTTATAAGATATCATCCGTCCTGTTTTCTCACTTTCTTTTCCTTCCAAGAACAAATTCTTTGACAGTATTTCTAAAAACTCCTCACCAATCTCCTCCATTGTTAAGCTTGTTTCGTGTTTGTGAAGGAAGCCTTGCGCCATCCAAAGAGCAATCAAATCACCTTTTTCCATAGGGAAATCTTTACGGAAAATTGCACAATAAGCAAAACACTGCTTCAATGACAAAGAAGGTAAATGGTGAAAGCTCAACATTAGTGATGGTAGGATATGGCTTCCTTTTCTATTTTTTGTAGCATATTCTACATGCCATAGCTCACTTTTTTCTATTTTTTCCCACTCATACAAATACCTTTTTGATTCCAGTGATCTTCCCATCATTTTTATTGCCAACGGAACACCCTTACACTTCTCAACAATCGTCCTCCCAACTTCTTCAAAACACGGAACATTAAGCAATGTCTCCCTAGCTCTAAACTGCTGCTTGAAAAGAGCCCAACTTTCCTCATCTGATAATCCTGACATCAAGTGTGTATGAGCTTTGGCTTCCATAGCAACCTCGTTGCTACGAGTAGTAATTAAAATCACACTATGTGCAGAATTCCCTATTCTCTGCAGCAAACGGTGTAGAGAACTCCACATATCATCATTTTTGTTCCATACATCATCTAAGACGAGCAAGAATTTACTTGACTTGATCTCTTCTTGAAGCTGATTAATAATTGCATGAGTGCTAGTTAAGTAAGTTTTTTTTGATGGACATTCAACCATCTCCTTCAAAACTCTTTTAGCATCAAAATCTTCTGACATAGATACCCAAATTCGCTTTGCAAAATGCCGAATAACTTGCTCATTGTTATATAAACGCCTAGCTAAAGTAGTCTTGCCAAGACCTGTTTAATAGTATAGGGTAAAGTATATATCAATGTCTATATATTGTAAGAATCTGCATCATCATAGATGGTCATTAAAAAAAAAAAAAAAAAAAAAAAAAAGACAGATTACCTAACAAATGTTCTATCAACTAGTTGTTAAAGTAATTACTAAACATAAATATTTTGTTTTCCCCTCTGAACCCAAGTTATAAATCATCACATTAATTTGTAAATTGTCTCTCATTAAACAAAATGGATGTGTATTGAAGATTTGATAGTCAGATTTGAATTGAAGATTGTGAAAAAAAAACAAATAATACTACAATTAGTGGACCTGAATCACCTGATCATGTGCAAGGCCGAGTCTAACAGGGCCAAGTTAGATTTAAAAAAATTGTACCCAATATTTGCTGTCATCCCAAAAATAGTGTAAATCATTTTCAAGTTAGGTTAAAATTATACTGCCTCCGTTTATGTCTAATTGTTGCAAACAATATAAAATATAGGTAGTAACTTAAAATTAAGTTGTGACTTGTCTAAAACAATTTCAAATATAATTAGATAAATCAAACCGAGCCTAAAAAAATAAAGGCCTTAAGGAAGTTAAAATGGAACATACTAAAAAGTCGCTCTCTCTAAAACTTCTTCCTACTGAAATTGGACTTTTTTTGCTTCACAACAAAAAAAGCAAATAGGAAGAACATCTAGGCCCCGTTTGGTTTGATGTAAATATTTTCATGGAAAATGATTTTCTCAATTTTTTCCCACTTTCATTTGTTTGGTTTTCGGGTGGAAAACAATTTTCCCAATGGTGGAAAATTGTGTCCTTAATGATGAAAAAACGTTTCCTTTACAAAACAAGGGAAACCACATTTTCCTCCCTCCTCCTTTCCTTCTTATTTCCCTCTCATCCATCCTCACATTCCCCCTCCTATTTTTTATTTCTCTTGAACTTTTCTTGTATGCAAATGAAGGAAAACTAATTTATAATTGTGCTTTTCCTTGAAAATATTACATCAAACCAAACAGGGCTTGGAGACATAGGGAATACATTTAAACAATTACAATTGGAGTACAAATATGAGGGAGTGTGGGAAACAGAGAGAACTTACCCCCTATTCCAACTATGGCCTTAACACACAAGCAAGAATTACTTTTTCAGGTGAAGAACATATCATTTGCAGTAACTTCTCCTCATCAATCTTCCTTCCAACAAACTCAGATGCATCTTCAACACCCGCATTTTGTCGAGCTTGCTTCAACATACAATAATATTCATTCATATTATCATCATTATAAGTAGATGTACGTGCATCTGTTGCCAACTTCACGGCCTTAAGCCCATAATTTTTTGCATCGTTTTCGAGCTCATCAAACTTGGCAAGGATCTCGGTCACCTTACGAGTCATCCGATAACGGAACTTGATTCTATTCGATCGCTTAAACATCACATTGTGGAGACGTAAACGTTTTCTCGATGCATTACTATTTAGCTCGAGTTTCCTACGGAGGATTTCATAGGCGTACTCATCCATGATATCTTGCGCAAAATAGACGACATCTTTGATATTTTGTAGCCAACAATTTACAAGTTGGACTTCAATTTCTTTCTTGGCACTTCCCATGTCATTCAAGAATGCTTTGATGTAATTTAATTTCGTGTTGAGTTTTCGTAGGTGATCCTTGAAACCCCAAGCGAGTCGTTGCTCCTCTAATGGCCGAGCAGCCATTAACTGTATCATGGCTTTCGCAGCCTCGATTGCTATGGCTTCTGCAACCGCCATTCTTCCTGTTTTTTAGTGATTACGACGATGCGAATGAGAGAAGCAGGATAAGTAAGATGTAAATTTGTGATTTGGTCATAAGATTTTGGTTAAGTATGATTGATTTGTGAGCTTAAACTTGCAAATTGTGAGGAATGAAAGATGTTGGACCCCATGTATTTGCCACTTTTGTTAACAAGTTATGTATCACCACTCACTACTTACTACTTGATTAATTGTTTAAGTATGTCAACTTGAACTCATTTGTGTAAGCAAATCAAGCAAATTAAAAATGTCAACTTGACTTATATATTGTAAATTTTTTACCTATTAATATTGTTTATATCTTCTACTAGCGATGAACAGGCAAACGGAGTGGATTAATATTAATTACTTCCTTTGCACCAAAATAAAAGTGTATTTATTCACCTTTAATTAATCAAATTATAAATTTATTTTTATACATTTAACTGTAACTAACGAAATTCAATTATCATATAATTTTTATCGGTTTAAACACTTTAAAATGATGGGAAAGTTAAGTTTAAGAGAACCGATCCCCACCTCTAAGTGTAACTACAATTAGGATAATTCGACATTGCAACCAACTATACGGCTACACCAAACCTTGATGATTGGCAGATAGGATTGACATTATAGGATCCCCACTAACTAGCTATTTTCTTTTCAATTAAGTTCTGTAATATATATTGTCACTATTCAAAGCTAGCTGTACAGTGATTAACATGAATCTATGTCAACTATACATGCATGTAACATGTTGCTAAATTTTTGTGGATTACATAAAAAAAAACTGTTCTATTATCTGTAAATGTAAACTATTGGACGAATAATCCTTACATATATCACGAATCATATATATCTTCATGATCTTTGACCTCAATATTCTACATATTGTACAATTATTTTAAACAAATTCGAAAATAATGAAAATAAAATAAATAAATAATGGAGTACATCTTAATACAAAACAATCAAATTAGCAAGCAGATTCTCACTTATGCAAAGGGCAAACACAATTCTCTTTGCCAATATCAGAAGCAACACAAGGAGGTTGATTTTCACCGTCTTTTAACCAATTCGAACGCTTCTCAACTAGCTCACCTATGAACGTATCCAACTTCTTGATTGTAACATTAGGCATCACGACCACATGAGCTATATTCCCTTGACAAGAGAGCTGCCAATATTGAATGATATCCTCATCTTGAGGTCTTTCGAACACCACGGTGTTGCTTAGCCTATTGAGCATGACACTAACCCCGGCCTCTTTAAGCCGGTCTTTAAGGTAACGTGCATTGTGTAGGCATTTTTGTACGTCTTTCTTGAATCCATTGTATCCTATGCGGCTCAATGCACACCATAGGAAGATGGGGGCGTGACCGTTCCTACTTCCCATGATTGTAACATCCCTTGATGCTACATACTTTACATTCCTAGATAAATAGTTAATGTGTTCCCTCCTTACCATTTGAACACCACAAGGCATCGGGCATCCGACGAATTTGTGGCCGGAAACACTTATACTATCAATTGGCTTCTTGAATGTGATTTGAGGCGCCTATTATTAATTAAACACGAGATGTTAAAATGAAAATTCAATAATTTACAAGAAAGTTGGAGACAAAGGTATAATTAATTGTTCAAGAGTTAGAAATTAAAAGATGTAAAGTGTAATATTATGTCTTTGTACACTTCACTAGATTTTTGAAAAAAATTATTTTTACAGAATTTATATAAATGCGAAATAATTAAATTTTTACTAAAATTAAATTATTGATACTATTAGAGTAATTTTATCGATTAAATGATATTTTTACTGATTTGATATTATATATTTTCGTTTAATATATTGAATTTTTACTGGCTTATTTTTACTAAATTTAACTTATTTTTGTTAAACACAGCTTATATCTAATGACCTTTATTTTTTTAGACTATTTTTTGAATAAGATGAAAGTAACAGGGCCTATATATGAGCTTTCGCAAATTGCATAGGTCCTTATTTAAAGGTCCACAAATACATTCTATTGTATTATGAGATAAGATATACTTGATATAAATTATGTAAGCATAAGCATGTATAACATAGACACAAATAACGTCCCGATTATCAAACAAAAAAAATCTTATTCCATAATTAATGCTTTGTATAATATATACCAGTTGTCTAACATATGATGGTTCTTTTCGTCAAAAAAAAAAAAAAAAAAAAAAAACACATGATGGTTCTAATTCAATACGGCATTAATTTGGCGCAACCCCTACCAAAACCCCTCAATTATGATCAATAGTACGTCTAGTAAATCACACCATTTTGATAATAGCTACAGTTTGTAAGTTTGTTGGGTGACATTAATTTCGTTTCCGTCTCATACTAGAATTCGCCTTTTGACTCACTTCGTCACAACAATAACCATGTGAGTGTTGTAAGAGTGTCTTTACTAAAAACGTGTAAACATAAGAAAGCTGAAATTGGCAAATAGATGCATAATTAGGATCATGAATGTTCAAAAAATGCAATAAAAATGCCTTATTAAGATAATTTACTAACTCGATATAGAAATGGCAGCATGAGACCAACCAAGGCTCCGTCGCAATGGATATAGAACCGATTACGAGGGAAGCCACACTCTTCAAGAGTTTGTATCACTAGATCGAGATCATCAATAGCACCTTTTACCGTAGTGCCTGTAACAAGAGGCCACAAAATGGTCATACAAATCAATTAGGCTATGTAACACATACTACAAGTACTATGTAATTTTTAAGAGATAATTACGTACATTATGAACGAAATAAATAATTCATAATAAACACATATTCCATTAGTACTCTCAAACGAACATCATGAAAATAAAGGTAATTAATGAAGTGAATGTATTACCTATGGTTATATTCATGATGGCAGGTTTATCTTTGTTCTTGAGAAGACTTGCCTTTAAATCGACACAATCAATTTCGCCGGAAACTATTGTCTCAACCTTAACACAATTCATTCTATACATACGCGCAGCTTTAAAGACCGAATAGTGTGACTCTTTAGAAGCATACAAAATTCCATCAGGAAACATTTCTCTCCTGAAAATATTTCATGATCAATAAGATTAAATTGTCACTAAATAAACAATATAAATTAATATTGTAGTAATTTATAGTAATTAAAATAAACCTTTTACGAAATAAATTGATTTTCAATTTTTTTTTATTAATTTGCTAATTATTTTATCGTAATATTAATTAATTGATTTTTGCTGAATAAAATTTTACTTCCTCTGTTTTTTAATACTTGCAACACACACATTTTTTCACGGTATTTAAGAAAAGTGGGCCTTGCATGATTTTACCACACTTAAATGGAGTTGAGAGATTGTTTGAAGTGTAATTAAGTGGGCCATGAGCATTAAATAAGAGTAATAGTACAATTTTAACCAAAGAAAACATTCCAATGATAGTGTGTTGCAAGTATTGTCGTGACATTTTCATTTTAGAAAATTGTTGCAAGTATTAAAAAAACGAAGAAAGTATATTGCATACACTTACCCTACAAGTAGGCCATGAAGGTTTCCTTCTGTTCCACCACTCGTAACATATCCCCAATATTCACCCTTATTGATCTCCCAAAGACGAGCAAACCAATCTAATACACCTACTTTGAAGTCCCTCGAGTGCACACCATAGTTACCCTCAATAAATGGATCACCACAGTTGTTAAATGAAAATCGTTGTAATCGATCAAGATCGTCGTAATTATAGTCCATATTTATTTGATATCCTGCATTTAAATGTTAGTTACAATTACATGAGTTCTACATCTAATGATTTAGCTGCAAGTTAAATTCGAATAATAAAAATGGAGAGTATACTTAAATAATCTAAGGTGATAATGAACTAAACTTATTCGTTAACTACGTAAAAGATAAAATCCACTTTGTAATTAATAATGTTGATCAAACTCAAGTTCAATTATGAATTTAGTTAGCTAACGGACATTGCTAGGAAATTATCTCTAGAATATTTAATAAAGCATAAATTATCCACACAAATAATTTTTATTTATTTTTAATCACTTTTACTGTACTATAGATACATTGTGTTGTGTTGTACTACGTAGTATGTTTGATATCATTATTATAGATATGATACATACTTTGTGTTATCTTTGATAATTTTGGACACTCATAAATCTATATCACTATGATTTGATGTAAATCTTGTTGGTAATCATTTAATAAATAAATAAATAATGATCAATATAATGTGTGAAAATTTATAAACTTACTGTGAACAATGCAAAATTTATATACAACGTATTTGATCTTTAATGCAATACCAAAATCCAAACCCCCTTAAGCCTATACTAATATGCATGGTGCAATAACAATCACATGTCCAATGATAATTAAAATAATTGAAATTGAAGAAGAGAATATATATTATATCATATATCACCTAAACGGTGTTTGGTCCTCTCAAGCCATCTCTGCGTGTATCTTGCCAAAACAACCTTCATATACGCCTCCGTATTTCCGGTCAGCTCATCGTCAGCCTCGGGTTCCTTGATGTCAAGGCAACAAGGGGTGTGCATGTTCTTTCCTGTAGGAGCAATCTCTTTCCTTCCATTCTCATTGCCACTTTGCTCCTTTTTCGCCTCAACAATGTTATTATTGTCATTTTCGTCAAAAATAACATTATTGTCATTATTGCCTAGAGAGTAAGAAACAACAGGAACTAACTCAAAAACCAAACTTGTTGGGCAAAAATCTTGGTGCAATGCTTGTGATTCAGCACAAACCACTGTCGGCGCCATTTTTTGCTCTCTTTTATTCAACTTAATACCTACATCATCTTAATAATGACTAATGAGTTACATTAAAAAAAAAAAAAAACATAGTAATGAGTTATATATAGTTAGTAATTCGAAAATTTATTCGCATAAAAAGATAAATATAACACCTGAAAACATACCTAGCAGCTAGATGGTTATTTAAGATAAAAATAAACGTGAGCAAATTAGTGTAATACAACTTATAAGAATGTATGTTATTTATAGGTTATATCTTTCTAAGCTTCTATTATAATTACAACTACTTGAACAATGTCGAAAGGTACGTATAAACGCTAACTATTAATGACATTGTTGAAGGCACCACAAAGGCCTTTTTTTTTTTTTTTTTTTTTTTTTTTTTTTTTTTTTTTTTTTTTTTCTCTCTTTTTGAGGGCAAGCAAGGAACCACAAAGTTGGATAAGCCTTCAATGATCAGTTAAGGTGTGATTATGAAATTGAGTGTTTTTTTTTTTTTTTTTTTTTTTTTTTTTTTTTTTTTTTTGCAATTTACTTCTTTATTTTGAGTTTTTAACTAATTCTAGCATGACACTCAATCTCTCTCTCTCTCTCTCTCTTTTTTTTTTTCAATTTTATTTCTACAAGCTAACAAAAATAAGCTACCTAGATATGGTTTTGTCCGATCCAAAAATATAAAAAGATTTGGTGGTGTGACAAAATCAATTTATTTCTCATCTATCTGTATTTATTAATTTGTAAATTTGGTATTTAGACTTTAGAGAGCCACAAGTGAAAATAATGAGATTCAATCCCAAGACATTTTGAAACCGGGAAGCTCTAACCAATTGAGCTATCCCTCACCCTCATGAAATATATCATCTAGTTAGACTACTAATATTAATTAATAATAATCCATGCAATGTACATTGTTCATACTTGCCAACTAATATAAAATTGTTGGCTTTTTTTTATTCATTTAATATATAAGGTACATGCAATAAAACAAAAAAATGCATCAATTTTTTTTTATTTTGAAATAGTGTTTATTTTTAAAATTCTAAAGTTATTTTATTTTTAAGTGATTTACCTTATAACTTCATAACATGTCGGAGTATCTTTTATCTCTTGGCCATGAACCTTATATACATATGACATGTACCTTTAAAGTTTGCAAGTTTTATTTATTTATTTATTTATTTATTTATTTTAAATTTCAATTTTTTTTTTTTTTTTATTTAATTTTAAGTGATGTACCTTATGATTTCATAACATCTACGAAGTACTTTTTATCTTTTAGGCATGTACCTTATAAATATGACACTTTTAAATTTTGAAAAAACAAAATTGTTTTTTTTTTTTTTTTTTTTTTTTTTGGTAAAGTGATGTACCTTCCAACTTTATAAGTTTATAATATGTACCTTTAATCTTAGGGTATGTACTTTATACCTTTCGGGAATATACCTTATATTAGAACATATACCTTATGTATATAAGACGTTCACCTTATATTTCATTAAAAAAAAAAAATTTAAGATATTTCAAAAAAATTATTTTTTTAATTTTTATCATTTACCTCATAGCTATGTACTATGTACTTTATGTGACTCTCACTATAAGTTCTCATATTAAGATGGTTCTCACAAAAACTCCACCCGTGTATACAAACTATGGGGCAATATTTGTGATTGTACAAATGAAAATTTAAATTATCTACCTTAAATAAATACAGCAATAAAGTGCTCGGAAGATCAGAGTTGGAATTTTGGAAGTGGTTGACTGATGCTGATGTGAAATCAAGTACGAGTACATGGAGACACTAAATTCGTAGAAATTCTACATATTGTACACAAAATACTAGTAATGTCTGACTGTAAGATTACTAGGTTTTGTATCAAGTGGATGTTGTGATGAGAATAATGTGTATATTTGGACTGCTTTCCTAAGTATAGGCGTGTAACTAGATTTGATATAATATTCCATATATATTGGACCATTTTGTACAGCGTAACTTGATTTGATTTAATTATTCTCCCTTCCACCCCTCAACTCCCAACCTCTTCCTTGGAATAAAAGGTGGACGATGTGACTTGGATGAGCACAAGTTATTATATTTAGAGATGTCAGTGGGGCGGGTCAAATAGGAGACCCGCCCCATCCCCGCCCCAACGAGGTGGGAATGGGTCTTAGTTTGGCGGGTGATGGGGCGGGGATGGGGATAAAAACCATACCCGTCATGGGTGATGGGGCGGGGGTGGATTTTAGGTTGTACCCGCCCCACCCCACCCGCCCCACTTCGTACCCGCCCCATCCCCATCCACCCTACTTTGTACCCACCCCATCCCCACATCCATGTATTTTTAAAAACAAAATTATATACTTTTATATTATTTTATAAAAAAAATTATGTATAATAAAATAGTATATTATAATACTTTGTAATACACTTATATTATAAACAAAAAAATGTATAATATTAACAATAATTTTTTTCTTTTTGCAAATTTTATTAATTGTGAAGGATTGTGCATTTGGGAGACGGGGATTAGGCGGGTCTTAGGTGGGGATTAGGTGGGGGTGGATATCCAAGTGGGGGTTGGGGCGGGGATGATTTTGGAATTGTACCCGCCGGGGCGGGGATGGGGATGAATTTTAGACCCGCCGCGGGGATGGGGATGGGGATGGGTATGAAAATTTTAGATGGGGATGGGGATGGGAAGGCCAAAATCCGCCTCGCCCCGCCCCATTGACATCCCTAATTATATTCATTATGTTCTAATTAATACCATTAGGATTGTTGGCTACACGTGGAGTAGGAGCTAGGGCAATACACATTTTTAAGAAGAGAACAAAGTAGAGAGATGGATATTAAGGTGTTAAGCTCGTCTTGTGTGCGGTTGGTCATATCATGTGGCCGGTTGTAAAAGAACAAATTAACCCTTGTAATACTGACCGAGTAAACCCTATACCACTGATGAAGTAACCCCTATAACACTAACAAAGTAACCCCTATAAGAATTTGTGTTAGGTGTTAAATATTGGCATGAATTATTTAAATTAAATGTATATTTAATTATATTTGTCTTTGTCACATAATCAAATATCTTTCTATAATGAGATAATCATTTAAGTTTTCTTCCTGGGTGTTGTTCCCCTTTTATGGCCACGCAATGTGATTATAGTTGACACAATGACACTTTGAGACGATTAAAGGAGATCAGAGTTGAAAGAGATAAGTTCAAAAGTTTGTTGTACAAGTTTTATTAAATCTAGTTCACACCAATGATACGTTCCAACAAGTTAAAATTAGATGACAAGAGATCGTGAAAATGAAATTAAAGAGATGTCAAATTATGTTGAATAGAATACGTGACTTTTGTTGATTGTCGCATCCCAAATTCATGAGTTTTGTATTTAGGTTGTGACGTTGTGTTATAAGAAATATGATTTTCGCTTATTATAAATTATTTTTATATTTTTACTTACCAATTAAATTTTGTAAATTTGTTTTGTTGATTAAATATTATTTCATTAATTCGATTTTTTTTTTGGTTGACAGACCAAGTCTAGCTTTAATCATATAATCCCTCCATTTTTTTTAAAATGCAACATTTTTACTTTAAAACTATCTAAATACGAGTAATATATGTAACTTGATTTTATACTGATGGTTAAAATAAAGCACATGATTTTAAACAAAATTCATACTCCGTATATACTTGTATATATATAATAACCGATGTTTACCCCAAGGCATATGGGCATAAGGCCCTTTTGCACCCAAAGTCTTCTAATCTTTTAGGGCCTGCATGATTAGGGCTGCCTAAAAGTGGCAATAAGACCCAATATTCCCTTGTCATCATCCAAAAATGCTTTGATGTAACCCAATTTTTTTGTTGAGTATTATTCATAGCTGGTCCTTGAAACTCAAAGCAAGTCGTAGCTCCTCTAAAGGTCGATCGAGCAGCCACCAAATGTATCCCGCTTTCGCCAGGAATATAGCCCCCTCCGCCACTGGCTATGGTCTCCGCGACTGCCATCTTGCCTCGGCTACCAGTTTTTTACCTTCACGCACAGTTTTGCATAAATTGCTTTTGAGAGGATACGACTTTAAGGTTACAAGGAGAATTCTTGCTTGGTTTATATCATAGAGACTCCAGAAGTCCAGAGTCTAGAAAGGATTGATGTTGGAGCCCCAGCCCACTACTTTGTTTTTGATACTTTCTATACAAGCAATAAAATATTGCCACCAAATTTACTAATTTAGCTATAAGTTGGTTTTAATTTTGATATATAATATATACTCAGTTAATATCAATTTTAACCAAAATATATTTGGACAGTTATTTTTGTTTTTTTGGTAATTTGAAATTCAAACCAATTTATATAGTAAAAAATATTTAATGCAACTAGTCAAAATTGAAATTTAGATTAAAAATAGCAGATGTTAAATTTAAGACCTATATTTAAAGAATATTGCCTATATGATGATAATCAGCTGTTGATTGCTTATTTTTAGGAAAAAGATATTATTTGTTACTAAATGATACATAAGTTATCCCATACAAATTGTTTTTTGTTTTTTTTTTCATCCAAATATTTTAAAATATTCCTTTATAATATGGAAGGTATTATTAAGGAATTCAATCAATACGTACTCCGTAATATACAGCAGTGATGTCATCCATTTTTTATGAAATTATGACACATGAAATGATAAAATGTAAACTATAAATTAAGAACAAAAACTAAACTAATAATAATAAAAATAAAAAAAATCTGTAGTACCTAACCGTTGGGTAACAATAGTAACAAACTATATACAAAGAAATCAATGTAACATACTTCTTATAACGCTAATCCAAAATAATATATGGCTATACGTAGACAAATAAACAATAAATTTGTGTTTTACAGGTAATGCCCTATTAGCATTTGGTTAATGACGTATGCACAAAACAAAAATTAAAATTTCATCTTCTTTTTTTTGGATCAAATAGGTATTCCAAAACAAATATAGCGAATGTCTTCTTTGATTTTCCTCACAAACCCAGATTTTTGAAAAATTTATAAAAATTACTATTTTTGCATCCATATAATGGTTGATTTTGTATCAATTGATTTTGATTGTCTAATTAACATATATATTGTTTTAGGATAAAAAATAACTTAGATTCACATATGAACCCCGATTTTGAACGAATTCAAATTTTGCATATATTATGAAAATCGATGCATATTTTCAATATTCATTGATGTGCGAGTGTTTTACGGGACAAAGATTAAGATGATGATGGTTATTTTTTTCCATGGATGAAGAACATTGTAGAACATTGAAGAACAACTAAGAAACAATATTTTGATTTTTATTTTCTTAATTTAATCTTTAATCTAGATTTTATTAAAAACTAATTTTAATAACATAATTATGAAAATAATAAAAAAAAGATTTTCGAAAAATCAGAAACCTAATTTTCAAAAATTAAAAAATGAAATAGAAAAAGAAAAAATAAAAATAAAAAGTTTGACCAAGCATAAAAAAATAAAAAAAAATCGACCAATAAGAATTAAGAATAGTGATACTCTTTTTAAGGATGACTATTGTAGAATTTTCCAAAAGATTACCGACCTACGGTTATATTCATGATAGCAGGTTTATCTTTGTTCTTAAGAAGACATTCCTTCAAATATCCGCAATCAATCACCCCAGAAGCTAGTGTTTCAATCTTAACACAATTCATTCGGTACATACGTGCAACTTTGAAGACCGAGTAGTGTGCCTCTTTCGAAGCATACAAAATTCCATCAGGAAACATTTCTCTCCTGCGAAAAAAAAAAAAAAAAAAGTTTTCAATTTCGCATTGCTCACTTAGTTTTACTAATCAAAACTAAGCTTTGACGAGTAGAGATTATTTATATGGAGTATATATATAGTGCATTGCGTTAATCAACTTATAACTTTTATGATAAAACAAATGTTTATAGAAAAAACTTACTTTTATTGATTCACTATATATGCACCATATACATTATTTACTTGTATTGATTTTTACTGATTAAAATTTAATATCGTGCTCACTTACCCTACAAAAAGGCCATGGGGGTTTCCTTTAGTTCCACCTCTCGTAACATATCCCCAATATTCATCCTTCTTGATCTCCCAAAGACGAGCAAACCAATCTAAAACACCTACTTCGAAGTCCCTTGAGTGCACACCATAGTTGCCCGCGATAAATGGATCACCGGCATTGTTAATTGAAAATCGTTGCAAAGGACCAAGAGCATCATAGTTAAAGTCTGAATTCAGCTGATATCCTACATTTAAACGTTAGTTGTAGCTCCATGAGTTTTACATTAAGGTCAGTTTGTTTCATCTTATTTTAATTTATCTTATTGCAGAAAAAATAATTTCGAATAATTTCAAATCAATATATATAAAACAAGTTTAGAAAAAATAATTTCAAATAAGTTTAGAAAAATAGGTTCTAAATGAATAATATCAAACAATATAATTTGTTGAATGTATTAGTGTATTACTATAAGAAGAATCTTGTCCACTTAGCTTACTACGTACTACTTTGAATAATAATAATAATAATAATAATAATTTGCAAATATGACAATAATAAAACAAAAAATAATTAAAAATTAAATATAAACATGGTTGGATTGTTTTTTTTTTCAACGGAAAAGTGTGGTCATAGATTATTGTCCTTAAAAATTATTGTAACTTTTATGTTGTGACAAATAAATTTTCACAATCCATGTTTTTTTTATTTTTTTTAAGGATCACAATCCATGTTATTATAAACCTACTTCAATGAAAACAAAAAATAATAAAGTTTATATCAAAATGTTCGAACAAAATATGATAAATATTCACAAATTCTTATATGTGGTCGAACAGAATATGATAAATATTCACAAATTCTTTTATGTTGTTGGCCACATCCATCGTGGCAGCGTTCATAATAGGGGTCACTTCGCTAGTGTTATAGGAGTTACTCAATTAGTGTTACAGGGTATGTAGGATTACTTCGTTAGTGTTATTAGGGTTACTCGGTCAGTATTACAGGAGTAACTCGTATCGATTACTTTGTTCGTTTACAAGCGACCACATAGTGTGGCCAGTTACACACAAAACACACTAATGATTATTTTAGACAAATTAAAATAATATAAGTGCAAATGAATAATATATATATATATATATATATATATATATATATATATATATATATATATATATATATATATAATAAGGTAATGTCAGATAAAATAAAATAACTTCAAACAAATGCAATGAACCAAACAAACCCTTATTTTATAGCTGGATGGAATATATACTTCGTATTTAATATCTTTGATGTATACTTCCTCCAGTTTTTTTTTTTTTATATATATCATTTCATTAACTATACATTTAATATACAACTTTGGTCGTATTTCGTAATTACTGTATAAGGAAAAAATAAAAACTATTATATTACTTATTATTTATTATAATATAATAAAGGAAATCGCACAAAACACATATTGCAAGATAAATTAAAGGGAAACGAAAAGAGTTTTATTAATTATTAATTATTAATTATTGTCTCTTGGACACCATCTTAAATGTATATCTTTAGTTATGATTTAATTTGTTGTAGGTCTTTTAGTTGATCATTAAGATCGATAATGTACGTGTAAGGCTATAAATCTTATTTACTTGTATAACTTTATAAATTGTTAAATACAACATAACAACTTATCGTTGACTTTTACATTTACCAATTCATTTTTTTTTTTTAAAATACAGGACAATCCACTTTCTTGTGAACATTAACATTTATACATGCATCCAAACCCTAGCCTATACTAACATGGTACGTGCAATGATCATGCATGGGGCCGGGTATAACTTGATAAACATGTCTAATGATACTATTCATAAAAAAAGGGTTATAAAATCCCCTCCTCCTCCATTTCATCTTAATTAACAAGTTTCTTTAGTCACGTTTGACAATACACAAATTTAACTGGTAATAGCTTTAATTACCAATAAACAAAAATTAACAAAAGTTAATATATTGAAAATAAATGCTGTGACGAATCTAACAAGACTTTCACATGACTATATTTTTCATTACATATAAATTACCAAACACGGTCAAAAGAAAATGTGTGAATATTGCTAAAGTCAAAACATGTCAACTAAAGAAAAACGGAGGTAGTATTAATTAAGAATTACTAGTATTAATCAGCAATTTGAAATGAGTTAGAGAAATCTAAATATCATGGTCACCTAGGTTGTTTTTAGTCCTCTCAAGCCATCTATCCGTGTATCTTGCCAAAACCTCCGCCATATAAGCTTCTGTTGCTCCGGTCAGCTCATCATTAGCCTCGGGTTCCTTGATGTCAAGGCTGCAAGGGGTGTGCATATTCCAGCCTAGAGCAATCTCTTTCCGGCCATTGTCACTTTGCTCCTTTTTCACCGCGACAACATTAGTGTCATGATCTAATTCAAAAACCAAATTTGTTGAGCCACAAACCACCGTAGACGAAACCATTTTTTGCTCTCTTTTTATGAATTTAACACCTACATTCAATAAGTTACTTAATAACGCGAAAATTTAATCGTATAAAACGAAAAATAAAGCTCCTGAAAACATACATACCTAGTTGGTCGGTTATTTATGATATTTATAAAGATAGCTATAAGCCATACCGGGTCGTGCCTTGTGCTAGGCCCACGTGTTTGGGTTGCTTAGGCTCAGCCCATGGTTCGGCCCACGAGTTTTATGTTGTGTCGTGTCGGGCTGAAGTTTTAAAGGTTGGCCCGTGCACGGCCCAAGCCCACTTGCTATCGTGTCGGGTTTGCGTGCCTAAGCAAAATTGCATTAATTTTAGCATGCTTGTCGTGTCGGGCCCAGCTGTGCCGTGCTTTATCGTGCCGAGTCGTGTTTTTTTCAGGCCCGTGCCGTGCTGTACTTTTTTCATGCTAGGTCGTGCCGGGCTTCAGGCCGGCCCGACCCAGTGCCATATTTAGATATTTATAGCTAGCTTACTTTCTATTAATACGGCGTATTATTACTTATAATTACAACTTGAAGAATATCGAAAGTTACGTATAAACGCTAACTATTACTGTAATTACATCGTTGAAGGTACCACATGCCCTATTGAATTATTAATAATTATCGATTTAAATACACTCAAACTTTTTTTATTTTATTTTTTTTAGGAAAAATACACTCAAACTTTTATGATAAAATTACTATGTCTATTAGTGATGTGTGTTACAAATTCATACCATACAAATAAATTAAGATCCTATTATACTTTATATATAAAAAGCGTGTCTAAATATATTTATGTACTACGTTAATATGCACTAGCATTATGCTACGTCATCATGTAACTAGCATTGCGCTACGACATCACTAGTAGAATTGCAACAATTATTTCATGTCATTATTAACTAGAAAAATGCATCCCACAAGTTGCGAACACTAAACCTCATGGATATACTAAAGTAACCACCAAAATTATCCTCAAATTACACGTGTCGCGTCCACAACAAAAAATTTCCAGCCAAATTTCTTTTTCTTTTTTTCCCCTTAAAAAATAATAAGATAATTGAAAAAAATAAATAAAAATAAAAAATAACCTGAGAATCTATGAGCAAAGGCCACAAAATCCGGTGATGCTAGCAGCAAACTTCTGCAAGCTGGTGGAAGACTACCAAGCATACGACAATAAGGTTTACCATCGCCCCCAAACAACTGACATAATCAGTCTGGGCACATGGAAACCCCCACCTGTTAGTGTTATAAAAGCAAATGTGGATGCGCATATTGATGGTAATGGGAGGTCAGGGCTTGGAGTTGTTCTTAGAGATGACGGGGGCAACGTCCTTCTGACTGCAACAAAGAAGGTCACTCAAATCTGCCCTGAACTAGCTGAAGCAATGGCAGTAGACTATGCTCTCACTGAACTGCAAAGGTATGGGTATAAGCGAGCCTGGATTGAATCAGACTCCCAGGGAGTGGTTGCGGCAATCAATAGAAGGAAAAAAGGGTTCCTCTCCTCTTTTTAATGTTCTAAGGGACATTTGGCAGGATAGTTTATATTTTGATTGGTGTATGTTTTCCCATGCAAAACATAGTTGTAACACGGTCGCTCATCTTGTGGCTAGACACGACACGGGGACTTGTCAAGAGCTTATCCGCTTTGACTCTTTCCCGCAGAGTATTGTAACTTTGGCCTCGTTGGACCTTTCAACGTCTTAATAATATACACTATTGTTTTGCAAAAAAAAAAAAAAAAGAATATGCAACCTAAACAACCCAAAAAAAAATAGAACAATAACAACAATTTTAAATAAATAAAATAATTTTTTAATCGATAATCTACAAAGTGTATATTCCCTTGAATCTTTAATCGTTAATATATAAAAATATTTTTTTCGTTTCCTACTTAAAACAGAATTTTAACTCAATTTTAAATTCATAACTTGTAAGCAAACTACAAAATAGAGATACTCTTTATTAACATATCTCATTTACAATAATTTGATAACATAAATAGGTATTTAATTGTATACACAATCTATAACAAATACAAACTCATAATAACTAATAAAAATAATTTTTTTTCCTGTGAATAACCGAGCGTTGCTCGAGCAAAGAACTAGTTAGTAATATATGTTATCTATATACACATAAATAAATATATCTTCCACCAAGACAATGGATAGTTAATTACTTTCTTTAAATCTTCTTTTTTTATTAATATTAATATGTTTTAAAATAGCAAGTAGCAACCCGGTGTAACACTAAGGCCACACACTAGTTTTATAGGGAGTATTTAAAAACTATAAACTCAATTCTTAATATGCATGCAATTGATCTATTGAAGAAAAAAATAATAATTAAAGGACGCTATTATAGATGGTTGATTGATTTCAATATCTTGTAAAGCATGTGCGCAAAAAAAAAAAAATTTGAAAAATATCACCAACAATTATACTCATTTTTTACATAACCACCAACAGAGTTTTATTTATTTTTTGTTTTTATTTTACCACCAACTATTCTTCAAGCCCTTAAAAATTACCACATGTTTGCCCAATGATATCATAGTGGGCCCCACTCTTCAATTTCCCTCCTTTTCCCTTTCTCTTCTCTCGATTCTCACCTCTGTTCTTCCCTCTTCTTCCATGTCTCTTTTTTAACCCTCATTAAAGATCTTTCACCCACACACATTGAAGGCCAATTGATACATTCATCACTTGTTTTTCTCTCTCTCTCCTTTTTCTTTCATAAGATAGGGTTTTTCGTCATTGTTCTCATTGAAATAAGGCAGGAGAAGAGGGACCAAAAGCAAAGCAAAAGTAGCAGCATTGGAGGGGGGCGGGGGGGGGGGGAAGCATTTCAAGGTAATTTGTGTTTTTAAGTGATTGTAGTAAACCCTAAAATCCGTACAAAAATAACCACAAATTGCAATCTTAATTAGCAATAAATCGCGAAATAATAGCCAATTTGGCAACTAATTTAACTAATATAACCCCAAAATCAAATCCCCAAATTTATTTTATAAACCCTAATTTCAATTGAAAAACCCCCCAAATTGATTTCATAAAGCCTAATTAAACATACCTTTTAATAACATAATTATGGAATTGGTGTTGCATTGTTGTTTGGCAGAAGTAAGAATAATGAATGAAAACCCTAATTGCCGCACTAATCGTAATTTTTTCGCAAATTAAGGGAAGAAGAGGGAAGAACAAATGTGAGAATCGAGAGAAGAGAAGGGGAAAAGGAGGAAAATTGAAGAGTGGGGCCCACTATGACGTCACTATAGAGGAGTTGGGAAAACAGGTGGTAATTTTTAAGGTTTTGAACAATTGTTGGTGGAAAAGTAAAAAAAAAAAAAAAAAAAAAAAAAAAAAAAAAAAAAAAAAAAAAAAACTGTTGGTGATTATTTAAAAAATGAGTATAATTGTTAGTGGTATTTTTCAAATTTTCCCAAAAAATTGAAAATACTGATTTATTTATGGTACGGTACACCGTATGAATGTACTCTGTAATTAATAACAAATTGAAGAAATTAGATATGAATTAAAAAAAGAGGTTGTCCCCATTGATCTCAGAGATAAACAAAAAATGTTTATCACATAGTGTTGGCTCACTTAATGTTGACACATGGGCAAAAAGTTAAAGTATTTGTTAAAAGCAAGTGGAAAGCAAGCAGTATGGTCCCACCTCTGGAATTGACATCGTTTACTTCCGTTAGCTGTTAGTAGTTGATGCTTAACCATGGTTAGACTCTATTTTTCAATTTCCCCTCTTTCAATTTTTCAATTTAGGGTTCATAGGTTAAGTCGACAAGTGTTTCTAGAGGTGTTCATGGAAATCGGCGATTAGGTCAACAAGGAATACGTCGAATATAATGGTTTTGGTGTGACCAGGTTTCAGGGCTCATATACTAAAGAAAAGGAACGTAGGGCGACTACATGGCGTTGTGAGTGCTTGGGTAGACCTGACATGAGGGCGGTTAGGGAGGCGAAGAAGAGAGCCGAAGAAATGCAGGTCTATGGTACTGGTGGGGTTGTTGGTGGTGTAATTGGAGTGATGAGCTGAGCCGTTGTAAGCGAAAATCAAAGAAGTGTGAGTGCGAGGCAAGGATATATGCAAGTGCGAATGGGGAGAGTGACTGGGTGATTAAGACTGTAGTGTTAGAACATAAACACTTGATAAACCCAAGTTTTGAAAAACTAGTTAAGGAATACAGAATGAAGAATTACTCATCTACTGTTAGGAAGAGGTTAATGAATTATTATGATGAGGGTGTTCCAATTAAACAAATTCATGATGTCTTGAGACTGAAATGGAAGAAAACATGTCTATGACTGTGAAAGATTTACAGCACAAGGTTATAAGGAGCGTAAATCTAAGATGCAAGCTAAGGGGGTCACTCATCTGCCATGATGTCATATATTTTGAGTATATGATGACCGATAATCAGAATTTTTTCCATGCAAATAGGGTTGATGATGATGGCCGATTGAAAGATTTTCTGTGGGTTGATGCTCGTAGTCGAGGCAGTGTACGAGTGCTTTGGTGATATAGATTGTTTTGATGCCCCTACCTTACTAACGAGTACGAATTGCTACATAATTTTATTTTTAATCAACAACTATAAGAATTCTATTCGTTAGAGGAAACTAATTAAAACAAATTGATGCTTATATAAACCCTCTAACCTCACCTTTGCTCAACGACACTTATTAACATTCAAAATCTGTACACGCACACTCACGCGCACTCTTTGACGCTTAATTTCTACTCACACTCACACGCACTCTTTGATGCTCAATTTCTACGCACACGACTTTAATTTTATTAACAGGTATAATTGTTAATAAAATTTGAAAGTTATAATTCAATTTTAAAAAATTAAATTATAATTTTCAATAATTATTTTATTGATAATTTATTATTTTTATATTATAATATTCGAGTTAAAAAGTACTTCAAAATAAATCCATTTATGATATACTTTAAAAATTATAACCTACAACTTTATGAACGGTAGTACTATATTTTTTATTTTACAAGTATGATTGTCAAGTGATTATTAATCAATCCATGAGTTGAAAATTCGAATAACATAAATATTTTTCTCATATATAGTGTATATTTCTATATTATATATTGCGCTCTTACAAAATTCAATGGTATCCTACGTCAAAATATCTTAAATTAAAAGGGATATACACCTCTTACATAACAATGTTTAATTTGTGTCAATGACATATTATAAAATTTGGCATAATTAAAAATAAAATATTTTAAAATTCAATAAACAAACCGAGCATCACAATTCACAACCATGATTAGAATTCCAAATAGATAGTCATCTTTATTCCAAATAGACAATCGTCTTTCAAAAAAAAAAATCCTAAAAGTCTAGGAGCCGGAGACTTACTTTTAAACTGATGATTTTGAATAAAGTCTGGGAGTACTCAAATTGTTAAATGTCAATGAAACCGTAATATTAAACTACTCATCTGATAATGAACATTTAAAGCAACAAATGTTTCAAACATGGATAAATATAACATGATGCGGTAATGCCATTAATAACATGATGATTTTGAATAAAGTCTAGGAGTACTCAAATTGTTAAATGTCAATGAAACCGTAATATTAAACTACTCATCTGATTATGAACATTTAAAGCAACAAATGTTTCAAACATGGATAAATATAACATGATGCGGTAATGCCATCAATTCCAAACCGTAATAACATGATGCGGTAATGCCATTGAGAAAATGATTATGACTTTATAAATATTCTATAAGTAGCCAATTAATGTAAGATTTTCAAATATAAGGATATACATTGCGGAGGGAACCTAGAGCATCACCTGGGGTATGTACTAGTATATATTTAAAAAAAAAAAAAAAAAAATAGAGCGTTTGGCAATTAAGACTTTAAGAATACAACGGACATCATGCATGTCCGAAATTATTGCTTTTGCTAGATTTATCTCACCCCAAATTTCGTTTCCAACTATTCTGCCCAAATTTATCCTAAATTAGCCGTTTTACCTTCAAATCCTCTTCACCTAAATCTAACCCCCAATTTAACACCCTAATATATCTCTTAAAATACTAAATCATTACAACAAAAAGAAAAAAAAAAATAGAAAAGAAAAGAATATCATGCATAATCTTAAAGGCTCTTTCTTCATCAATTGCTGACACAAAATCTTCTATATTTTCATTGAATCAAAAGGGCTGTCTTTGATCGAAAACAAAAAACATAATTAGTTTTTTTTGTTTTTACGTATAATTAGTCATGTCGACGTGATTAGAGAAATCTGTCAAATTGGGTCACCTGAAGAAAAGAGACGTATCAAAAAGTTTTAATGGAGGTGGAAAGAATTTTACAATTGTTAATATTGAAACATAAAGGACATAATTCTCGTGCATCTCTCGTTGGTGGAAATCATACCGCAGCCAGGTTCTGTACTCGCTAGGTTTATTTCTCTCTTCTAATCTCTTTATAAAAAACATAGCATACCCTAATATTTTCTCTGCAATGTTAGCTATTTCTTTCCTACATTTTTATAAAAATTAAGCCTATTTATGCTTGTTCCATTCTTCATTCCCTTCTACATCTTAATTTTTCGCTTTTGTATTTGTCTCGTCAGCTATCATTCTGCCATCATTGATCAGCAAGCTCCAACTCCCGCCAACCCCCCGCCATTATAGCACGTTTGTGCTCGAAACAACAACCATACGTACATACATATCGAAAACACACAAAAAAAAAAAAAATTAAAAACAATGCAACTCGAAAACATGAACATGGAGTTACCTTACGCGTACAACAAACACAATAATGTACATGTCTTACATGGAGACTCGTCTAGATTATTTGTTATCATTCGACACTCGGAATCGAGGGTGCTCATGAAAATCCTAGCTCAAGCTTTGCTACTTGCCCTCCTAATCATGGTATTAGTCGGTGTATGTGGAGGAACCAATGCTAGAGAATATGATAATATTGTCTTACCAAGCAAAAATAATGTTAAGTTAATCACAAATAATATTAATAATAATAAAAACGCCTTGGTTTTTCAAGATCTTGCTAATGAAGGATTATGGAAATCAACTAAGGATAAATCCATCATTGTTAGTGACACCAAAGAACAAGTGATCGAGGCAACGAATAAGGTTGAATTTACCCTTACATTATCACCTTCAGACACGAAATACAAGTCCATACACAATGATACATTCGATTTCTCCTACACCGATTGCTTTGGAAGAGCAATTGAAGGTTTCCTAGACCGAACCCTAAAGATAGGTGGTGTCATGGCTGTCCAACTTAGTCGAGATCCAGCGATGGCATTCGAGGGGCCACCAAATTACAAAATTGTTTATTTTAGGAAGTGTAATAATTCTACATTTATCGCGATGAGGAAGGTGGCCTATGCTAATACAATGTCATCGAGATCAGCCTCTCAAAGGAAGCTATTACAATTTTTTTCGGAGGAAAAGAAGGCAGTTCTAGGCAACCTCGAGGATGTCCTCTTAGAGCCACCGCGATCAGCCACAGGAAAGTCTAAGACATACCTAAGGAAAACAAAATTTCTTCCTGATCTATTGAATGACTCTTTGGAGGGTTACTCTAGGAGAGTGTACATTGATGTAGGGGGTGGTCATGGATCAACGCGTTGGTTCGAGCAAAACTACCCTACTCGAAACAAGGACTTTGACATGTATAGGATTGAGACTGTCCCTGAGACGGAGGTGGAATCAGACGATGCATGGGAAGGGCCACCTACACAAATGGGGATCTCGGATTGGTTGTGGAGGAATGTTAAGGCCGAGGAGTACGTGGTGATGAAGGCTGATGCCGAGGTGGTGGAGGAGATGCTAAAAAGTAAGGCTATCGCGCTTGTGGATGAGCTCTTCTTGGAGTGTAAGCCTATTGGGAAAGGCGGTAGTAGCAAAAGGGCTTATTGGGAATGCTTGGCTTTGTATGGAAGGTTAAGGGATTTTGGTGTTGCTGTGCACCAATGGTGGGGGTAAGGTTTAGACAAGATTATGATTCATTCTTCTCAATGATCAAATCTATGTTATATTGCTTTGTGTTCATTTGGTTTAAATCATATCAATGAAATTAATAATGTGTTTAATTCTTTCATTATATTTGCAAATATATGGTGCTAATATGTAATCGATCAATTGTTCATGAAATGGCACAAGTGTACATCTCACAAGTCTACTCATATAATCAAAATTATTGTGGTTATATGTAACTCGCCAAATTAAACTCTCATATTTATTTGTTATGTGTACAATTAAGATTAAAATTACTTTTACTATATCATGTATATCATCATTTTATTTCTATCTCTCAATTACGTAGAAAACATTTTAAGTACATATGATACATGTACCTATAGAATTTGATTGTGTATAACAAAACAAAACAAAAAAGAAAGAAAACAACGTAAAAGAAACTTACTCTTTATTATCAATTAAAATACAAAAGATAGAATTCTTCCATCTTCAATGCACAACACTTGATTTTACCAAAAATGAAAAGAAAAAAACAAAAAATAATGGAAATTCCTAATTATACACCCTTTCTTATGGGAGTAATAGCGTTACATTGTAGTTTGGTACTTCTAACGTGGTGCAACCTTTTTTTTTTTTTTTATATATATATATACTTTTACTACTAGTAACTAATTTTAATTTTAGTTACAGAGTTCACGAGCAATTCCTAGACGAGAATTGGCGGTATCATAGAGAATCCTAAGGTTTTGTTGCTGCCAACTTGCTATTATATTGATCACAGAATTGGCGCTATTTGCGGCCATTGCTAGGCAAGCTAGGTTGCCTGCACTACTATGGATCAATGTGTTCTCCATTGGTAATTTTAAGTCCATCCCTTCAAAATGTAGGGTTACGGTTGGGGCCACTTGCTCGTGGGTCACGGGGAAGCAAGTGTCGAACGCCCCGAGTGAGCTAAATGGTCCTTGGACTTGTTTTTTGTACTCATCCCGAATTGCGTAGTAAGCGGGTGCTATGAACCGCGTTAGGAGGGTACCGGAATCGATGATGGTCCCAACACTGGTGTTTGGGTCGAATGTGAAGTATTGTTTGGGGATGGGTACTTGGACCCGGCCCACGCTAACCGCGATTAGGTTTACATACTACAGTGAGGGACGGTGTGGGCTTTGGAGGAGTGGGGTGGTTTTGATTGATCGAGGTTGGCTCGTTGGGCCGAGTTTGAGTGACCCGGAGAAATAGTAGGATTTGAAGCTTGGGAGGCAATAGGAGAATACTCCATTGTAAAGGGATTTTGATTGGGAAATTAGTGATAATGGCCCACGGCCCAAACCCAATAAGCCTTGTGGTGGGATTGAGTTGCGTGAGATAGCATTGATGCATCCAAAAGCATAGTTAGGGATGACATCTTTGTCTAATGACAAAGAGTCATGTGAGAGGGTAGCTAAAAGTGATGAATCTCCACCATAGGATTGGTTAAATTGACACGCCCCGGACCCGGCTGAAGGGCATGAAATAGGCCCGCGGACTTGGCTACATTGAGCTGAAGCACAACCCATGGACCCAAAGGTGGAGGATGAGTTGGGTGAGAAAATATTAGAGGAGCACCCTACACAACCCGAACAAGGGACCCATGCTGCATCCAAACTCGTGTCCAAGACCATAAACATGAGTTGGCCTGGAGTCCCAATCTTGGTTCGGACCAAGTAATTGCCTATGTTAAGGACTTGTTGGCCCGAAGCTATAGGGGCAGAAGTCTTGTGGGCTGCTAGACTATCTAAAAATGCAACCCTCTTAGGGTCTTTTGCGGCCATGTCAAGGACCGTGTTGGGCCATAAATTGGGTTTTTGGTTCTTAAAGGGCGAACAACCACCATAAATGTGAAAGATAGAGAGATCAGACATATCGAGTTTAGAAGAAGAGCATAATGATGTTGGTTTAATGCCTTGAGTGTTTGTGATGAGAAAGGCAAAAAAGAGGAATGTAGTAGCCAAGTACTCCATGAGTGACTTGCCAATGTTTCACTCTTTAGATTTCTTGTGTTTTGGATAAGATGTTTCATTAAGTGTGCATGGGAGAACAACTATATATATTGAGTTTTAGAAATGTGGAATTACTAAAATGCCCCTATTAGTATTATACAGAATTAGTTATAATACGTAGTATGTGGAATGATTGCATGAGCATCTTTTGTAACACCCAAATATAAATATATAAATAAATAAATATATAGGATGGCCAATAGAAAGGCACAATTTTATGGCTGCAAAGATGGTAACAAAACTATTATTTGGAGGCAAGCATGTAACTAGTACAAGTAGAATAAATAGAGACAAATTGAAGTAATAAATTAACCAACTATTACTACTTCATTGAACCAGAACAAAATGCCGTGATCTTTCTATCACATGTGATTATGTGAAGTATGCAAATTAATATAAGTAACATAACCTTAATTTGTACGGAAATTAGGATAATGTTGACTATGTACTGCTTTGTACTACGAGGGAGAAAAATTAGTCTCTCAAAACAATTTACTTGTTATCTTCATCGGCTGGAGGAGCAGATCTCAAGGGTCATTTTCTAGGGAATAAAGATCACCTAGTCTCTTGCTTGATTTTTTGTAAAGCCTAAATGGTTAATCTATGTTAACCTAATTCAAATAAGAATCGACTAAACAATCAAAACTAAATAAATCATTACTGGATTTGATTATATAACGAAGTGAAATCTATCTAAATGACGTATTGGTCATTTGGTCATCTTTATACGGAGTATGACTTTATGTGAATACTTTACTGTCATGACCTTTCACATTATACGCTTATCAATTTGAATGTTAGCTATATATATCTATGCTAAGTTCACATATATGATACGTTTATTGTACAAAACTTAAGCTAAAATTTCATACCACGTTAAACTAGCTACCCGTACTTATATAAACTTATTAAATATTTTTGTATTACAAAATTAAAACATACTTTGTATAAGCAATACATATCAACAACGATAGATCAATTATTAAAACACATACACCAAAAAGAGCAATTAATTTAAAAGGGGGGACATAGATTGAACATAAAAAAGAGAAAGGGCAACTCGTGAACAAAATGGACAAGTTTGGAATTTGGTTCGAAAGTGGGAATAATGAAGCTGAAAATGTGTTTTGTCCTTAAAAGAAGAACCACCCACGAGATTGAGGGGTCAGCTTTTTCACGGACTTGCAGTGTTATTCTTGAGATTGATCCACTCATTTTATTTTTTAAGATTTGAACTTGTTTTTAGCCAATTAGTCAAACATAAAAATCGCAGAGCATCTATTGACTATCTAGCACAGGAATACAGGATCATAGTTAAAAAAAATACTTCTTTGGTTTCAATAATATTACAATAATTGAACTTTTACACTATTTATCACTTTTGTTTGATCATATAATATAATTTATACATTAAGTAAAATGTAGTAATGTGGGATCTTGTTAAATTCATCTCACAAAATACTTTCACAATATCAACTTTTAATAATTTTTACTCTTTTGCAATTGTAGATAATTAACACATAAAATATGCATTGGGATTCGTAATTTCATCCTTATTACGATATTATGGAACGGGGGAAGTATCTCTATACGGTTGAAATAGTATTACTTCAATAATTTGTCTGAAAAATTATATGAAAAACTTATTTTGTTCTTAATTGTCTAAAGATAATATCACAATAGGAGTACTAATTGTTAAGCCGTGTATTGTCCAAATTATTAGCATTACATGAGCCGGTAAAATATTATTGCTTTCTTGACCCTAATAAGAAAATCAACAACGTTGGGGATTTATTCCTATATAAAATTTATATTTATGAATCACCTAAAAATTCTTATATGCACCCACGTATACATAGATCAGACTTAGTATAGCGATATAGCCAATATTTCCTTTTTCTTTTTCTTTTTGCTTATTTTAAAATTTTCGAATAAATGGAAAAAAAAAAATCAAATGAGCAAATTTTACCCTAGGTGCACCTACCAATAAGTACACTCGGGTGCATGTAAAAACCTCTCATAAGCACCCTTCAAATTGGACTACTCGAAAAAATCTTCTTGTTCTAATTTATTCACATTTCCAATCTTATTCATTTCAACCTCATCTTATCGTACATGAAATACAATATTTAGATGTCACTTCTGATGCCTTGCAAAATTTTCGTTTTACAGAAGTAAATTAGTTGAAACTTTTATAAAATGTGTATGATCAATATGGATCAAAGTGTTTGTTATACTATTGTAGGGAATTTTTCAACCTCTTATTTGAGCCATACTATGGTTCATGCTTTTAAGCATGGCGGCGTTCCAAGGAAAAGAAGCTAAAAATAAAAGAGTCTACAACAAGTTTTAGGAACTTGTAAACAGTTCACGGGTGTGAAGGTTACACCTCATTCACGATCACGGAGATCGCTAACTCCATAGTGGTCCGCAACCATGACTGGTTCGGGGATGATGGTACGAATCCAACCTTAAAGAGATTGAACTCGCCCTAAATAGGCCTATACTCAATTCTTATGATATTCATGTGCGCTTTTCGATCAACATACATATATCGAATTAATCCTAATAAACCTGTTTAATCTACGTTGGTTGATTATTAATGCACAATCAAATCTATTATTGGTGATCACTTGAATTAAAGTCATATTAAACCTAAGCCAAATTATTAATTATATTATTAATCGTGATTTCAAGTAATAATTCTCTTTAAACCTGCAAAAAGGGGCATGATCAAGCAATAGCAATAAATCATGAATAATCAAGCAACATATGATTAACACAACAATCATCATCATAACAAATTCATCAAAACATCGTTAATAATAAGATCCTAGGCATGATATTAAACGGATTAATAACAAACCCTAGCATGTCACTAATAACAAAATCAAAGCATTATCTTAAATATGATACTAGAAATCATAATCAACATCCTAAACATGATACTAGGAATTAATATAATATTGT